AGTATTTGGAATACATTCAGCTGCAGGGAACAGGCATACAACTTTAGGGGCTCATACAGACTGGAGCTTCTTCATCTTATGTAATGAGAGGACAGGCAGTAGATGGTTGTGGGTTGATGTGCTATCACGGACTCAGACATCCCTCACTTATAAATGGATGAATGATAAGTGAGTCACTGTTTAATCCTTCTACTGAAGGGAAGTTCTGTATAAAGGTAATTTTATTTTTATTATTATGTTTAAAAATGTTTGGCTGCACCCTGTGGCATGTGGGACCTTAGTTTTCCAACCAGGGATTGAACTCACTCCCCCCGCATTGGAAGGTGGAGTCTTAACCACTGGACTGCCAGAGAAGTTCCAAGGTAATTTTAGAGACTAGAGAAGTAAAAACAAAAAAAGAAAAAGAAAGAAAAGAAAAGAAGTGCTAAAAATAATGAGCATATTTTTTTTAGGATTTTGCAGTGTTCTCTTTAAAAAGTGTCCTGTCTGATACCCGGTCCTGGCCTTTATCATACGTAAAATAGATATTTTCTCTTTTGTTTTGTTCTGTTGCCTCACATGCTGTAGGGCTATAGTCATTGCCATGGGTAGAGGCAGTTGAGCAGAGCGAGACTCTGGGCCTTGGAAGCACACGACTTGGTCAATCTGTGACCATTTTTGACCTACAAAAAGGACAGTGTCTTACAGTTCATTGTAATCAGACTGAGTGCTGATTCTGAAGTAACTTTCTCAGCTCCTCGGTGACCAAGCGAGGACTCAAACACTGCTTGGCGCTTGTGCTGCCTCTTTCCAATTTTTTATTCAATACTCCCGGTCTTCTGGCCTCTGGGTAATAAAGCTAAAGATAGAAACTTTTCCTACTTTTCAAACTTGCCTGTGCCCCCTCAGAATTTGTGAGAAAACGCAGCCAGCATCTTCTGGAAGATGAAGAGGGCAGCAAGATTCCAGAGCCACCTTCCGGCTGACATTTGAGCCCTGCTTTCAGCACGGTCAAGCCTTTTGGAGGCAGTGTATGGCTTGTATCAAACTCTATATTTAGGAAGAACAACTGTGAACTATGACAGGAATTCTCTTTAACACTTATCCTTAAACTGAGTTCCCCTCCAGCCCCGAGCCAGGAGCAGCTCTCAGTACCGGGTGAAGCACAGATCGCTTGAGCTATTTCAGCCACATGAAAAGCATCGGAACCGAGATCACAGCTCAGAGGACACCCGGCGTCCCTTCCACTCTCTGAGGAGCCTTGTATCCTTGTACCTGGCTGCCTGGGACTTTCCTCAGGCAGGAAACAAGTACATAAAGCAGGTAAGCAGGAGGACTCACCTTGGGCAACCGGGTTTTCTGAAAGAAATTCCCTGGCTACCTAACTTGAAGTGGCTACTTCTAACTTTGTAGGTTTGTAACTAGAGGGTGTAGCTTCCTTGTAAATTCACTCTCCATTGGTGATGTTGCTGCTTCTGTTTTCTAAATTGTTTGGAGGGTGGGGAGGTTGAAAGAATATTGAACTAAAGTAGTTTTCATTGATAGTGACTTGAAGAAAATTTCCACGGTCCAGCTAAGATGACTCTGACCCTGAATTATGTCATTTTATCATTCACTATGTCATTATGTCATTTTGATTCTTAGGGCCAGGGTTGCAGTCGATCAGCTGCAGACCCGACTCAAGCTGTAAGCCTAGAAATAATCAGGAGAACTGAGGGCAGAGAAAAACTTCGGTTTACCTGAACACAAATCATTGCCAGAGCTGTTAACATGTTACAAGTTTAAAATGCTTTTCTCTTCTCCCTAAGTGCCAGGCTTGACCTCAGTGATAAAGTTGTAGCAACTTATAGAACTGTTAATACTCCAGACCCGTCTTTTTGAAAGCCCCCCTTGGATCACAGTGTTCCCCAGACCCAGCAGAGGAGAGGGCAGCAACCTTGTCTCTCTGTGTGGGCACCAGAGGCTGATAACGTGGCACGCGGACTGCCTCTTCCCTCTCAGCACATCTCATGCAGAGTTGAATAAAGAGTTAGTTTGAACAGCTGAACATCTTTCTGCACCCTTCTTGGGATTTATTTTTAGCTGCAGGACAGAAGATAATTCCCTGTGAGACTGAGCTGTAGCCACTTAATTGACCTTTAAAAAGAACAAACAAAGCCCCCTCTCTCCATATATTGATTTATTTTCCTCTGACTCCCTTCTTCTTAAATTAGGGCTATTAATGTTGACAAATATTTAGAACGTGGAAGAGTCTTATTTAGAAGTCAGATATTAGATGCTGTCCAATCAAATAGCAGCAGAGGAATACTGTTCATGACTCAGCGTATAGACCATTAAAGATCCCCACAGACTTGCACAAGCGCCAGGAAAATTCAACTGTGCTAAGCTGGCAAGCATTTCCATTATAATATAGGCTTTGTAAAAGTCCATACACTCTTGGTCAAACTGTCTGGGTTCTCCAACTGAAGCCAGAACTAGGAGATGCAGTAATAGAGGTACTCTAAAGAGTATCTCCTTGGATGCAAAACTGTGGTCCCGATGTGAGTGGAGCTATACATCTAAGGCATAGCTTTCTTTTTGGGGGCCCAGGACGAAGCATGCAGAAACAGAAGGAAGGTGCATTCTACACCCTGCATCCCTAATGCAGGTGAATGCAGGGCCATGAAAGAGCCAGGGAACACTGTCTATTTTTATTCATCAGTGTGCTTTGCCCTGATTTCTCTGAGAATAATGAGGACAGCAGGATGGGCTGCAGAACTGATTTACACGAACATTTTCTAGCCTGTTTGCAAGGAATGAGAGCTGGGATCTGACCAACTTTCTAGAGGTCTCTCTCTCCCAGACTGACATATATGTTGAGAAGGAATCTGTATGCAAATAAGGTTATACCAAAGCTATATTGGAGACAAGGCCCGAGGAATATCCATCCGTTAGGCTGAGGGGTCCACAACATACAACGAATCCAGTTTAGCAAAAAACAAAATCATTCTAATAAAAAAAAAATCCATGCAGTACAAATGCAATCATTCATTGCCTTATTTTTTTCACATTTAAACTTGCTATTGTAATAACATAAAGAAGTTCCTAATCCCCACATTTCAAATTGACATACATTTTTAAAAGTTCTCAAGTCTTAATAGTTAAACTTTAATTGTACACCTATAGAGAATGCTATAGGATGAGATATTTAAAGTCCTGTGAGAATTATTGCTTTGCCTGACTTCTAATAGCTTTTGAGGAATAGAAACATTAAATATTAAACTACATAGCTTTTCTTTTTGAAATTGAGCTTTGTGTCCTAGATCCAAAAATTTAAAATCCTTCATTGACTTTTTTTTCCCATTTATTTTTTATTAGTTGGAGGCTAATTACTTTACAATATTGTAGTGGGACTTTTTTATACTGCAGAAAAGAGAGCAATCTATCTGAAACCTATCACAGAGCAAAATGCATTCCTGATTGTTCGACTTGTGATACCTCTTTAATTTTTTTAACCATATTGAAAATAATTCTACCTAGACCCTTATGCATGGTGGCTATACCTGTATATTACCAAAACATTCAGGTAGAACTTAAAAAAAAAACAAACATTGTTTTCAGGTATGTGATTCCAAAGACCATATCGTTAGGTGTACTATTTACGAGAGTTTAAAAAATTATGTAATGATTTAACTTCATATAATAGAGCCTAACACTTTGAAGATTTTTTCAGAGTTCTCAGATCTTTTATTTCTAAAGTATTGTGGGGCATCACTATCGCAACTCTTACTCTGTATTAAAACTGTATAGCAGTAAAGAACTAAAGGTCTCCAGCTAAAAGCAATGGCAATAAAACAATAAATACTTGCATCATGCTTTATATACTTCACAAGGCATTGTCAGGGCCCTTATGTCATTTTGATTCTTACCACAACCTGTGAAGCAGGTAAAATTTAAAGAAGAGGAAATGGGCCTCAAGATGGTGACTGACATAGTCCAGGTGACACTGGACTTGTGTCAAATGCAGACACTGCTGTGTTCAATTACTCACCAGTAACCCACACACTTACACCAGTCAACTGAGGAAACGCTAATTAACCCAGTTTACAGTTTTGGGTTTAAAAAGCAGCATGTTTTTAATTCACTGAATTTCAAACTACCACTTCACCCTGTCATATTTAATAGACTAAGCTAAAACAATACATGTACAGAGCTGGGCTGTTCCCTGCTCCCTGAGCCCCAGTAGCCCACGACCACTAGTCACTGGGCTCAAAGTCAGGTCTTCAACAGAAAGAAAGCAAAGGTCCTTTCAGAAGGAAGCACTGCTACACCTCGGGGATCTGACACCGTCATGTAAGTCCTAAGTGCTTCCAGAGAGTGTTTCATTAAAAGCAAAGAAGACAGAGGTGAAGCTTGCTTGCGAGCTGCCAGGTTTACAGAGTCCAGGCTCGGGACGCACCGAGCAGGGAGATGCGGCCCCCAGGTCTCTGGGTGGAACAGACATGTGCCCAGCGAGCAGACAGCATCGCAGTAATAGGAACGAAGTATGGGCCATTCCTCCTCGGGTGTTTGACGGAGGGGAGGCGCTCCCCATGGACTGACTGCGCAGCCCTGGCAACAACTCCGTTCAGATCAAAAGTTCAGTTTCAAGCAGAAAGCTTCTGAGGCCCCAGACAAAGGTGTTTTATTCCCACAACCTCTTTGCTTTGCCGTTCTGGGCAGGAGGGCAGGAGGGCAGGGAAGGAGATGATAGCGCCTTTCAAGTTTCTGATTGCCTATCGGGAGCATCAGGGGCGAGGCATCTCAGCATTTCTCCTCCTGAATGATTTATCCAGTGCGCTAGTGTTCCCTCTCCCTGAGGCCTGAGGAAGGAGAGTCTCTAAGTAACTGGAAACTGAGACTGAAAGAATATATGGCCAGTGAAAGGGGTGATCGCCCAGTTGAATCATGAGTTAAATTCAAATTTATCACTCCTGAGAATCTGAATGCCACCACCTATAACAGTTTCTTACTTGTTTTTTTAGGGATAAGACCGCGTCAATATGTCGAAACAGCCAGTTTCCAATGTCAGAGCCATCCAGGTGAGTAGACACATTTATGTGTTCGCATCAGCAGCTTCCAGGCTGTTTGCTTAATAAATCAGACTTTCTGTGATCGTTCACCCACCTGATGATCACAGTTCATCCAACTTCAAAGAGAGAAGAAAGACTTGTATAAGGTACAATTCAGGAAGAAAAAAGGCTGGTAATATACAGCTGAGAAGGGAGAAGCTGTTTCTGTGTAAATAATTGTAAGGGACTCAAAGTTGATGAATGAGAATTAAATGGCCTTCTACAAAAATGTAGTACACATGTTTTTGATGTTTTTTGATGTGTAACTTTTTGATATGCTCATTGATAGAAATTTTAAAATTCCATTTTCATTTTTAGATCCAATTGAGTTTGTTGACTCATCTGTTTAGAACATATGGTTCTTGAAAAACGTCCTTTTCTTGTCAAGTGTTCTTCCCAAGGCTTGGGTGTTTATCTTTTAAAGTCTGTATTCTATTATGTCTCCTCATGCCCTCCCAGCAAACAAATTCTTCGGTTGTTTCAACAGACTTAAGTGTTACCTACAATAAGGGGAGGGGGAAGCAGGCATTTTGGAGCACAAACACAATTACAGAGAAAGCTTTTAGTATTTGTTTTGACTCAATACTAAATTTGTCATTTCTCTTAAGAGCTCAGTGTTTAACTCTCAAATGGCTCCCACCCTGAGATGCTGGGCACAATGCTTTATTATAAAATTCCATCTTTTCTTTCCATCAAAATGGAGCTATCTGTACTTTCTCTAATAGAACTTTTAAACTTTTTTTTCCTGGACTTTCATGAATACTGCAGAGCATATGGCAGCTCCTGAATACTTGGGGTCTGATGCACCATCACACATACACCTATTCATAAGCAACTGACTGTATGTTGAAGGGACATGTACGTGGTCAGGTTGTGAGGTGAAGGATCCTAATACATACAGGTGGTGGAAGTGGGTGGAGGGATGTATCTTTACCTGTCATGATAATGCATAGCCTTAAGTGGAGGGGGTTCTTAAGTGGCAAGATGTATAATAGCCTAAGAAAATCTGTCATAGGACAAACCACCCAGGAAGGGCCTTTCAGCCAGGACTCAACTTTGCATTGCCATGTTTGCCCTCTGGTGTACACCTAATGAGTCTCTGATGTACCTGACACTGGTAGTGGACTTCATTTTGCCTCTCAGGCCTATAGGCATCCTTGAGCCTTTGAACCGTCTGTGTTACCCAGTGTGTATAGCTCTTAGTGGTACAGGCTGTGAAGCCAGAGATTACTGGAGCTTGAATCCTTAATCCATTTCATACTGTTTCCACATCTGTAAAAAGGGAACAGCACTTACCTCCTAGGCCGCACACAGAAGATGCTTAAAACAGTACAGTAAGTCCTCATTAAGGGTCAAACTGTTATTATAATAATCATTCAGGAATGCTCTATGCTCTATGTTAAAGTGACAAAAAAATTATACCATTAATCACTGCATTCTAAGCTCTTGAAGTGCTAAACATAAAATTTCCTTTTTATTTTGTAGAACATAAAGACATAGTCTCTCAGTCTGCCTTTTCTTCTCTTCCTTTTACAGTTGAAAATGTGTTGATTTTTCTTCCTTAGTGCTTCCTGGCCTCCCTCAAATCTACAATGAAAACTCCTCAGTATTCTGTTTATTAATTTTGACCTTGATATATTTTTAGGTCTGTAATATTTAAAAAAAAAACTCCCATTGACTGTTCATAATAGCTTTTGTTATACTGCATTTTTTAAAAACCCATCTAGGATACATGTATGTGTATGGCTGAGTCCCTTCGCTGTTCACCTGAAACTATCACAACACTGTTAATCAGCTATACTCCAATACAAAATGTTTTTTGTATTAAAAAAATAAAAATAAAATTTAAAAAAATCCATCTATTCTACCAACAAAGTCAATACAGTACTTCCTTATGGATGTGGTAACACCTCTTTCAATGTATTTTATGGCAGACAGAAAGCCTAATTTAATGCCGCTTCAAATGAAATTTTATTTCTTGTGGTTAAATAGGATCTGCACTACCTGATATTTTCCTATCATCTCACATTAACCTAAAGTAGCGTCTATTAAATAAAATATGAAAATGGTTACGCAGTACAAAATGCTTTATTGTAGGAACATTATCTAGGGTATGGTCTTGTGCAGAACAAATAGAAACCTCAACTGATGAGGGAGTGCCCTCGTTGTATAAATACTAAAGATCCTAAATATTCTATTCAACAGACTCTAGCCACTTCTTTTTATTAGGATCTTATTTCTAATCCAGTTCAGCTGTCATATTCTGGGCTCATGCTTTGTTCCAGTCACCATACTAAGTGTCAGTTATGCAAAGATGAATTGAAACCTGATCCTGGAGTATGAGGGGCTCATGGTCTCCAGGACTATGTGACTGGGCAACTTATTTCATCCTTTTTGTGCCTCGGTTTCCTCATCTGTCAAGTGGGGAATTCATCACATTTGAGCTCATAGGGTTGTTGTGAGGGTTAAATGAATCCATATGTGTAAATGCCTAGGTCAATCCATGGCTTACTGTAACTGCTCAATAAATATTAGACATTATTATCATTCATCATCATTGTAATCATGTGGTTCCCAATGTATGTCTTTTAGAAGAGTTGTTTTATGGGATGTTGTTAATTAAAGAGTTCCCATGAAAAAGTGTTTGGAAACACTGCATTAAGCAAAGTTGAATAGGATCCTTACTGTAGGATTTCTCAGAATCCATAACTTGCTAATGACTTCGTAATTTCCAAGAAGGCGGTGATATATGCAATACTTTTTAAACATACTGGACCTTTGAAATAAGTATCTTGTATGATAGTATTTTTCAGTGCAAACTTCTAGAAGTAATGGCTAGATCTCTATTTTGTCTGGATTGAGCAAATTGAAGCCACTGTCAACCATACGTCTAGCAGTCAGGCATAGGTAATTGAATTACTGTACCTATGTGCTTTAGACAACATGAAACCAAAAGTTTACAGATCTCTACCTGGCCATTCACTCACTCTGTGTCCTTAGTTCATCCTTAGTTTATCCTTCTGTAAAATAAGGACAATCATACTACTGAACAGGATTGTTATAGTGAATACACAAAATAATGTACGGCAAGTGCCTGGTTTACAGCACACAAAGTCCTTAAGAGATGGCTCTTCTAATTATCCAAGTAATGCGTGGAATGCCCTTGCTTTCTCTTCAGCTGCTTCCATCTCCTCCCTGCCCCAGAGTAAGAGGGAGGCCAGAATGAGACCCACCCTTAGAGGACATGGATAGTTGTCTTTCACATTCACATTGACGAAGAGACTGCCTTTGAATTATAAGAAGATTCTATATAAGTCTACATTTCTTTTCAATTGTATTAATGAAATCTCACTTATGCCAGGGGCATAAAAATATCCTGAAGAAATCAGTTAATCCTTCCATAGCCTGGAGAGGGCCTTAGTCTTCCAAGCAGCTGATAAGGTTCTGGACTGGATGTTGGCCCACCTCTTCTGTAAAGGACCAAATAGTGAATGCTTCAAGATTTACAGATCACTGGGTCTCTGTAGCACTACTCAACTCTACTGGGACAGCACAAAGGCAGCCATAGACAACATACAAGTGAATGGGGGTGGCTGTGTGTCAGTGAAAATTTATTTCCAAAAACAGGTGGCAGGATGGATTTGGCTCATGGGCTGTCGTTTGCTGACCCTGGTTCTGTTACTGTAGTCTGCTTCTTAAACCCCACTGTTGATGGGAGTGGAGGTGCAACCAAGGTAACCTCAGCACACTAGGCACGGTGGGTCTGATACCTTCAGATGAAAGAATCTGACGTGACAGGTGGTGGGGCCAGCTAGAGCTGCCGGGAAACCTAACCCCATCAGCGATCTGTTCACTGAGTCTAATGAGACCAAGTGACAATTACCACTGGCAGCACCTGCCTGTCCTTCCCCTGCCTCCTGAACACACTGCCTCCCCAGCCCACTGAGGGTCAATGTTCTCCGGGTCATCAATGGCCGTTTTTCTCCATTGATGATCAAAGTGAGTGGAGTATTATTGTCCTTTCCCACGAGATCTGAGAGTTTCATGGTTGAACAGAAAAGAGTCTTGTGTCCTAGTCATAGCTGTGCTCTGTGACTTCATGCCCCCATGATCCTTATGAGCTGCAAAGGGCATGGGGGCTGGGTGGGAATGATGCTGCATTAAATGACCTGTAAGCCTCTGTCCAGCCTCTAACAGTCTACAAACTTTTTACTTTGGTCGAATTTACTTATATCCCTTTGTTGTATGCCAGTCTGCCTTAAACCAGTTTGGAAGTCACACTTACAGGCTAATCATTACTACATAAAAACATTGAAAAACCTATTAGCTTAAAATAGCAATAACTATTACCTTTCACAATTTGATCTTGACTGTTACAGATACCATAAAGGATAACATTACAGATATTTCAATTATTAAAAGGACAGTATGGAGGTTCCTCAAAAAACTAAAAATAGAACTACCATATGATTTATGAACTTCTTGAGACTAATTTCTAAGGTTTATTATTAGGATGATAATAATAGCCACAGTTTCTTCCGGGTTTACTATGTACTTGGCACAATGCAATGGGATTTCCATGGATTATAATGAAAGGTTTGGAGAAGCAAAAGAACTCACTCAGGATCACACATCGGGTGAATAGAAGAGTCAGGAGCTGAACCCCACTTGCTTGATCCCAAAGCCCGTGTCAGGAACCACCCTGCAAAACTGTCCAGTCTCACTGCTTACCATCTCCACCTCGGCACACGGAATAAGGGTGGAGGAGTGGGAGCAGACCATCTGAAGGGTAATCATACTGACCAAGGCTACTTGAGAGAGAATTACCATTTTATAGATGCTGAATCCTCCCTTTTAAAGCCTTCAACTGACATGCAGAATGGCTGTCAGCATTTCAGCAGAAGCAGCTAGCAGTTTAGACTGATTAAAGTCACCTTACATGTAAGTTGGCTAGGAGTGAAAAGTACAAA